TAGTTAGGTTAGGTTAGGTTGGAGGGGCTGCCTTGTGTTGAAAACCGACTTGAGCTTAAATAATGGCCAGTTGTAGTATCACAGGAATAACGTTAGAGAGGTACGACCATCCCATCAGTTAAAGATTAACTAACTTGACAATTTTATATACTTGGCTAAGTATCTAATTTTGCAAAATAACAACTCGGTTCAATAAGGAAAGTATAGTTAACTATACTATGGATTATTATAGCATAGTATAGTGGATTAATTTCATAAATTTTTGGAGCACTGGGTATAGTAAATAATATTAAATAAATGCATAATAAATACCCTAGTCTAAAGATGACTATAGACTATAGTCAAAATGTTGGCGATAATGAAACTAAATTAAACTAAATTATAGAGTTATATTATTTAAATAATGGACCACTATCCCGTTTGAAAATAAAAAAATAAAATTTGGTCATTAAAACAATAAACTTTGAATACATAAAGCATTTCAGGCGCCTTATAATTCATCAAATTAAATTTATATTAATTTAAATAAACTAAACTGATTTTAAATACTATTTTTTTAAAATTTGAAAATCATAAATTAATTTAGTTTTAAATTAATTTTTTGATATAATTAAATAAAACTATATTAATATATTAATAAAAATAAAGTAAGCAAATTGATTGAATTACATAAAATTACATTAATTAAAAAAAGAAAAAATAACTAAATGTAACTAAATGAAATAAAACTAATTTAATAAAATTGTAGTAAAATAAATTAAATATAAGAAAATATGAATATATTTAATTTCTATTAATTGGATATTAATTGAAGTAATTTATTAATTTATATTAATATAATTGTGTTACTTGAAATAAAATAAAATTTAATAACATCATTTTTAACTAATTCGAATTAATATTATTTAAATTAAGTTAAGCATAAATAAATGAAATTAACGTAGTTTTACACTAACATAAAACTAATTACACTAACATAAAATTAATAGAAATATAAATTGTTTTTTATTTAACATAAATAAAAAAGGATATATATAAAACTTTATAGTAAAATAAGTTAAAATAAATAAAAATATTATGAAATTAATTAAACTAAAAACAAATAGAATAAATTCATTATGTATGTTTTGTTACTACAATTCAATTATCAAATGAACTTAATAAGTAAACCTAGTTGATATAAATCAATTACATAAAATAAAATAAATAAATATAGAGAGAAAGAAACAAATATAATAAATTAAATTAAATTAAATTAAATCAATATGTATAATTAAATAAATAATTAAGGTAGACTACATTCAGGTAGACAGGATACATAATAAAAATGATTTAAGATATATTTAAAAATAATTAAAAAAAAATAAAATAAATATAATCAAATAAAAGTCAAACACAATTTAATGTAAAATTAAATAAACAATTAAGGTAGATAAGGCATAATAGAAGTTATTTGAAATATATATAAAAAAATGAAATAAATTCAATTAAACTAAAATCAAATACTATTAAATATAATAAATTATCATTTAATTTTACATTAAAATTGATAACGACTGACATCCCCAGGGACCTCAAGATTGATCCCATCAAAAAATACATAAAGCATAAAGCCCTGAAATTATTCACGAAACCTGACAGACTTACCAACACACCAGAATGGTTACAGGCTCCTCGTAGAGGTATGCAGATCTGAGGTCAATTATTGCTTAGTCTGATGAAGTGATAAACAATAATCCAATCAAGGCGTAAAGAGGGGTTTTGAAAATACCTCGAATTAAGAAAGAGTAAAAGTGCTCAAGTGCTCAAGCGCACTGGCTCAAATAGCTTCAATATAATATATTTAATTATAATACATAATAAAACTGATTCAAAATATATTTAAATATAATTTAGAAATAAAATAAATTCAATTATATAAGAAATAAAACAATAAGAATAAATAACAATAATGATAATAACAATGATATAATAAGAAATTAAACAATTAAATTAAATAAATTAATTTAAAAATAAAAAAAAAGTTAAAAACCATTTATATTCAATTATATAGAATATATTTTAGATTTTATTACAAATTCAGTATTGGTCTCTACCATTTGAATAGATTGCTGTTAATTCCAAAACTGTTAACTTAACAGAAAATTATTACAGCCGCTCTTAATAACATTAGGAAGTGTATGTTTGTTTTGTTCCTCAATTATTTGATAGTTTAAATTCTATTGCATATTTATTTCTGCATTCAAACAGATATTAATTTATTTTATATTTATATTATATATAAATACTAGATAACCCGACAAACGTTGTTTTGCCTTATAAATTATTTCTAGTTTCTAGATAAATTCTAGTGTAGACAAAAAGTAACTTACTTATTATAAGTGTGTAAGTATGTGGTATATGCATGAAATAGGCATGGAACGCTATGAACGAAAAGGCAAATAAAAATAACAAACGCCAAACAATATTATTTTTAAGTTATTATAGTTTATTTATTAAATTATTAATTTAAAATCAATAGATTTGTATGATACCAAGTTCCCTGGCAACAACTGTTGTATCTTCAAATTTAAATTGTCTTGGATTGACTCTAAATAATAATAATGATAATGGGCCAGTAACATTAACCAACAACAGTTGAAGATAAAAGCACTCAGTGTGTCTTGGATTAACTGTAAATAAGCGTTCGATTTAAATGAATTGAGACATGGATCAACTGGTGAAACTTGCTTGCGGGGCATCCATTTTTTTGTTTGAGCCCATGTGAAATAGCGTGGTACTTGTGAATAGAGTAATGTTCTTGCAAAGGCACCAAAATCATCCGTACTATTACACAATTCAAAAAATGCAGTGAGTGTAGTTTTAGGTGGATTTGTACCACGATCAATCACTGTCTCGTTCGTGAAA